GGAACAGGGGTTTCCGAAGGGAAGGGAGGGTTTTTTGGGGGGCCCCCCCCCTTTTCCGGGGGGGGGGTTTTTGTTTTTTGGTTCCCCTTTGGAAAAGGGGGGTTTTTGGCCGCTTTTCGGGGCGGGGTTCCCGGTTTTTTTTTCGAATAGGGAAACCTTAAAAGATTAAAGAGAGTGGGGTTCCCGTCAAGCCCCGGGTTTTTTTTAAGGCCCTTTTCCGGAAAAAAAAAAATCGGAATTGGGGGGGGGAATGAGGGGGGAAACCCCCCGTTTTTTGGCCCGGGAAGCCCTTTTTTTTTCCAAAGGGTTGGGGAAGGGGGTCCGGAAGTAAAAAGTTTTTTTCCAAACACCCGGGGAAGTTGTTCAGGCCAGAAATAAAACCCCCGGGGGCCCAGGGGGGCCAAAAAGGTTGGGTGGGGGTTTTTTAAGCCACCCACGAAAGGGGTGCCCCAGTGCTCCCGGGGGTTCGGAGTTAGGGGGAAGTAACAGGCTTGGGAAATGGTTTTTCCGGGTGTGGCCCAGTGAAGCCAGGGGTGTGCCCTTAACCCCGGGACCCCCCCCCCCCCCCCCCCGTGCGCGCACTTCGGCTGAGCAGGTGGAGACCTTGGTGCGCCAAATGTGTCCAACGACGGGAAACGGGGGGCCTACCATTTGGTGACTGGGCCTCAAGTCCAGGCTTAAAGTTCATGTCTGCCGTCGGAGGTGTAACGCATGACACATGGTGGAAGGGTGCCACGCACGTTGTTCGGGGTGGGGGGCCCGCAAGCTGGTTGCGGGCCGAAGGGGGGTAGCACAGGAGGGAAGCGAAAGTGGGGTTCATCGTTGATTAAGTGTGACGGGAAAATATTATAGCGCAGGCTGAAACTGAAACCTCTTCACAATACAGCAGTAGGGGTTTCAGAAGGAAGATGAGATGTTGTCGGTTGGTCAGCAGGACGCCACGAAGGATTTTCCAAAGTGTGCGCGGCCCGCTCAGCCCACAGGGCGACATGCATCACCAGCCCGTTTAAAGGATGCAAGAAGATGCATTCAAAATGGGAGGGCAGGGTCATTTCGTCGGCAATTGTTTTTGTACATTTTTCCATAGCTATCCTTGTCTACTAGGTACACAGCGAGTTTTACTAGAGATGAAAGGGAGACTGGTGGCTTTCCACTGCTCCGTGTGAGCTACTAACTCTTATGCTACCAAATTCGATCGTTAGCTTAAAGCAACCACGTTAACAAACGCGAAAAGTTCAGCAGAGGCAAATTGCTCCCGAGCAGTCGTGAACTCCTTACGGGCCGCGGCCGTCGACTTGGAACCACAAACAACATGCCTACGAGTGTTCAACGAACAACCGCCAATCCAAGCTCACCCCGACATATCCTGAAAGAGCCAATCACGTCCTCCATACTCCCTATTTAGAGACTTTCGACGTCCTGCCTGGTCCCATCCCAAACAACCAGTAGGGCTCGTAGAAAAGGACACCCCCCGGCAGTGCATTGCCCGATTCTAGACACCCTGTAACCCCCGCCGACATCGGCTGTTCAGAGTCGCAACATGGCGCAGCAACCGAAAACAAAAAGATACACAAAATGGCCTCCGAACCGTCGCGTTGAGACTTTTACCAACAGGGGAGATAATAGCTTTATGCTGGTCGTCATAATACAACGCGATGAACTAGTTGCAACTCTATTCTGGACTCTATATCAGTGCGAGAGGCGAATTCGTTTTCTTTTTCTTAAAACAAAACGTCACCCAACGTCGATATATTTACTGCCACGTATCGGAGCGCACGATGTTTCCAACGCTATGAATCCATTATTCTCTTCCGGGCTCTAATCTGCGGAAGAGACATGAAAGCTGTGATTCGTAAGAAATTAAAAGAAAAACAACTTCACCCCCGTCGATATTTACTCTCATGTATCGGGGGCGCACGATGTTTCCAACGACATTTTCTCTTTGCCCGCCCGGCCTCCCGCCTGACGATGACACCAGGTCACGGTAGCACAAGTTAGGGTTCCGCGGTAGAGACTATCAGACCCCGACGATACGAGCTCGCTCGTTCTCGGCGGGTGCTACGCTTGGGGCAGTCAGTGTAAGGCTCGACCCCCGATATTCACAACCACCACCATGATCACTCCCCCCTTCAAGGCCAAGCCAGAGCAGTTCTCGAATAGAGCCCTGACCTACCCTTCTAGCACCAACCCGCAAGCTTTCGATTCCTATTCCATTTCCACGTTCACTTGCGCAACTGTGTCAGCTACCAAAGTAGCACCAAGCCGCAAATTCCTTGGCCACAAGATGCCAAAAACGGAGACCTCCGTCTGGACACAACCTCCACACCACCAAAACGCCCTCAAATGTCTTTCCCCCCCCAAACTTCTTTGAAGCAGTCCTGGTCCATCGCCAGGGCAGGCTTTCGTTTCTTTCCTTGCCCGAGAACCTTGGCAGGTACTCCGACCGCCACGCATCTGCGACAGGTGCGCGCACAGTCAACGTATACACACGAAAAAAAAAAAAGGCAAACAAGGCACAGGGGATGGATGGGGTCGGACAATTGCACTCAATCTTGGTGTTAGGAGAAAAAAGCGGTGCTTTGCCGTGGTTGGCGTGGCCTGCGGTGAGGTCACGAAACAGGTCTGTCTGTACTGGCACAATAAAACGATCCCGAGGGCAACTTCTTGGAAAGTCAAAACTCGAAAGCCGCCGTCACCGCCGCACCTCTCTGGCAGATCCGTCGCTACCAAGGACCCCGCGCCGATCTGCGTTCCTTTCCCGACCTTGATGTTCCCCAGGAGGCAGGCCCCCGCACCAATCAGCACGCCGTTGCCAATCTGGGGAGGGGAACCACCCGCGGGTCCATCATCGGTTTTCAGCGATAAAGTAGCGTGTCGCGAGCGCGCACCCAGCCGAACGGGGACGACAGAGAGAAGGGGGGCGGCCGCCATAGCGACCCCGGAAGGGCGAACGGGACACTGCTGTCAATGATGTAGCGGGTTGGCCAAGTGGATGGGTTGGGGTATGTATGCAACCTTGCTTGCTGTGCTTGATGTTAATAGTAGTGTGCAACGTCTGCGCCGGGAGTGCTGGCGAGACTCTGCTGTCATAGTGGTGGCTGGGTTGGCCAGTGAACGGTTGGGGTACATGTGTGCAACGTTGCTGCCTACCGGCGGAGAAACGGAAACAGAAGGAGACAGATAGTACCGGGGAGGCCTGAGGCCTGCCTCGAAAAAGCTGCCTTGCAACACCCGGTGCATGTGAAACAGGCGCCGCCCCGATTCCTGCCTGTGGGTGTTGTTCAATCAACCTTGTCCGTGCGTGTCTTGGAGTTGCGCATCTGCATGTGTGCGCGTGTCTTTAGCTACTATTGCGCGGGGCGGACGGCAGAAAAAGACGGTTCTCTTTGCTCGTTCGAAAATTATGACGCCCGCACAGGTACTCGAGATACGACAACGCAAGCTGTTGTACGAGTTGATACATGCGCGTTTTTCGTCGAACAGGGATTGGAGTTGACACGAGCGAGAGCAAATTGCGACGACGCAAAGCCACCCGAGTCCAAACAGAGGCAAAACCGTGAGAGCCCCAGAGGGTACACCAAACCCCACACCACACCACACCGCACCGCACCGCACCGCACCGCACCGCACCGCACCATACCGTACCATACCATACCCACCATACCACACACCACACCACGCCACACCGCACCACACCATACCGTACCATACCCACCATACCACACACCACACCACACAACACGACACCACACCACCGGACGGACCTTAGGGTGTCGATCCGCGCTCTTGACCCCGGAACCCCCGAGAGTGACGCGGTGAAGCATGGACACGTCATCGCCAACAACCGCAGTCTCGCCCACCACAATGCCTGTGCCGTGGTCGATGAACACGCCCTCCCCGAACTTGGCACCGGGGTGTAGGTCTATCTGGAACTCCTGCGCGACCTGGGGTGAGGGGGGTTGGGGGGAAGGGAAAAAGTCAAACACGGACACAACCGCAGCGAACGGCAGGGAACAGACGATATTTAAACCCGTGCGTCTGTGCGCGCCCGCTCATGCTACCTGGCTCTGCAGGTAGAAGGCGAGCGCATGCCGGCCGGTATGGTAAAGCCAGTGCGCCACGCGGTGCGTCTGCAGCGCCTGGAACCCCTTGAAGTACAGGAGGCAGTCGTGGTACGAGTCGCACGCCGGATCCCGCTCGCTGCGAGAACGCGCACGCGGCAGCAGCGACGGCCGCGCCAACGGGGGGGGTATCATGCAGGCCGGAGGGGCGAGGCGGAAGGTGCCACGGGAAAGGGTTATGTGCTGTGGGATGAAGGGGGGGGGGGGGGGGTTCCTGTGCCTCGCAGAAATGTCAGTACACGTTGACACACGAGCACCTTCGGAAACAACGTCCAAAACGACAAACCTCAAACCCCACCAATGGTAGGCACGCCGGATCTCGCTTAGTTGTCTATGCATGTACGCGTAAGTCAAAATGCTAAGCACCATGGGGTGCTGGAAGGAGAGCTGGCGTTACAAGCCCATGCACGAGCAGCCGCCGTAGCGGTGGCGGCGACTGCTGCTGCTGCAGCGGCCACCGCCGTTGTCGTCGCTGCCGCCATTGTCTATGCCGCTTGGAGCCGAACCCAAACACAGAGGCGACCTCTTTACTCGCACAACGGGTGGCGGCGTGCCACACCGCACCCGAACGCGGACACACAGCACAGACCCCAGGGGCGCGATGAACGAACCCTCCCGCAGCAGACCGAAACGGCACAAATCTCACCGCACTGCGATGATGTCTCGTCGGAGAGTCCGTCGCAAGGGAGTCCCCACGTCGGCGAAGTACTCTCTCACGAGCGCCTGCACCTGAGTGCTAAGCATATGCGGCCCGGCAAGCTGAAAAAAACATGGATTTGATGCGCACATACCGGAGAACGACACACGGGGCGTAGGCGGTCGCCAACGTCGCAAAAAGAACATGAGGGACGGTTGGTGCTGTAGTTTGTTGTTGATAATCATCCACGGAGGACGAGAGAAAGCGGGGTGGCCTCAAGTCGAAGAAACCGCAGACTCGGATACAACGAGTGTGGGGGGAAAAACGAAACGACGGGGACCAAAGCCGACAGTCGCGGCTCCGATGCAAAAGCGTACCTTATTAGAGGGGGATCCGCTGTCAGAGGGTCGAAATCGGTTGTCACGCCGTCATAGTACGTCTTTCTTGGGTACCCTCGTATTCCGGTACAAGAAGGGGCGCCGGCACAAGGACTAAGAGCCTTTGTCACACCACCCTCTTGCTTCGGAGCCACAACTACTGCTATGAAAACAAAAAAAAAACACAGCAAAAAAAAAAAACGGAGAAAAAAATACTCGACCGGACCAGACCGACCGACCGACCGACCGACCGACCTTGTTCGCGAGGTGGAACGCCACCGCGGCTTCGAGCGTCTTCTGGTTGAGGATGGTGCTGTACACGAAGGACACCAGCAGGGGCTCCTTCTCGGCGGCCCGCTTGGCCTCCTGCCGCATCGAAAGCCACACCTGTGACCGACGGACGGCAGGCATCAGGGGGCGCCGCAGCGTGGCCAGTCAAGCACCAACCAACCCGCTCCACGCTTGCTTACAAACACGTGTTGGTGCTGAACCCTGTCCTGGGTGTAAGGGGTGAGTGTCAAAAAAAGGGGGCTCTTGTTCGATTTCAGTTCGCCAGCAAAAGATGAACGAAAACTCTTTCACTTGACCGAAGCACTTGATGATACCTCGTAAAAGGGAAAAAACTAGGGAGAGAGGCACACAGCCCACGAAAAAGCCCCAGAACAAGGGGGGCGAAACTGCCCCCTGCCTGGCACTAGAGAAGAATCCTCGGCCTTGCGCCGGGTGACTCGGCTCCAAAGTCTGACGTCAACTGACCCCTACTTTTTGGCCCCTCCTGTACAAGCTACCCTGTCGCAACTTCCATGTATTGTTTCTGCTACTGGACGAGGGTCAGAGCGGAGTGCAAAGGCAACAACGACGACGGCAACAACAACACCACCACCACCACCAACAACAACAACAACAACAACAACAACAACAACAACAACAACAACAACAACAACACAAGAGCTGAGGTCTCTCACGCGTTTCACCTCGTCGTAGTCTTCCCAATCCTCGACCAGCTTCCGCCTCTCCGACCAGTGGTTGTCGTCCGTCCCGCCCTGCTCCTCCCCCTCGTTCTTGCTAGAAGAAGCCGCCGCCGACTGCACCACAAAAACACGAGAACGCGACACAAGGTGCTAGCTGAGAACTCGCTCTTCACTTTCAGTGGCCCATCGAGCACCATCATTGGTCTATCGATCAGCGCGGTCGATGCTCGGCACAGCACTTCTTCATCATCACATTGCTCGATCGAGTAGCGCGGTTGACGATGCTCGGCACAGACAGAAGATAAATACCCTTGCTCCCCCCACCATTATACCTGTGAGCTTTCTTCTGGCGGTGCGTCCGTCGTCCTGGAGGGTGCAGCAGCAGAAGAAGCATGGCCTGACGTAGAGACGGTAGTGTTGTCCTGCCATCCGAAAACAGACCTGGAACAACGTTCGTTCGACAACATGGTTGCAACAGCACGACAACAACAGAGGGCCCTAGAAAAGAGCGTCAGCAGTCCGACCCAACTGATGTCGAAGCAGAGCGCCAGACCAAACATGGCTCCCTGCGCGACGACAACGAGAACACGCGTTTGGCAGTGCTGCTGCTACACACTTCGCAACGAATGAAAGCGGACGCCAGCGATGAACCCCTGTGGAAGAAAAAATAACTGAAGCAGCACGCTCTCACAACGGCGGTCGGTTGTGGCGAGGGACAAAGACGAGGAAGAACTTTTTCTCTGCGTTGCCTTGTTCATTGATGTATCACGGCTAAACGCCGCCGCCTGGATCGATTTTCTTTCTCCACAGCGGGCAAAGGGCGCTGAGCGCCTTCTAAGCATCTCCCAAAACTGCATCGGTGAGTAGGCGCAAAAAAATTCGGCGTCGAGAGCACTGCCGTCGCCGTTGAGACACGGAGCTTCAAAAGTCCAGCCGCGGCGGGCCGGCCGGCCGGGGGCATGTCGTCTCTGACGCTGAAGAGGACAGCACTGGCTTTTAGTAAGGTGGGCGACGACGCTTGTGAGGGGAAACCTCGAGGCAAAACGACAGAGGAGAGCTGCGTTCAACTCTTTGTACAAAAATGATTTTGCGCCCCAACAGCAGTAAAAGGGAAGCGAAACAAATCAAAACCTCACCCCGCTTCGTCCGCCGGCGAGTACCAGCCGTGCTCCCCGAATCCGTCCCCCTTGTCCTGGGCAGCGGTAGGGGTTTCGCCCTGTTGTGGCGGCCCACTCGCGGCCGGCTCCGACCGTGTTCCACTCTCTAACTCTACGGACGCTGGAGTTGTCGGTGTTCTATCTGCTATCGTTCCCGCCGCCCCCGCTGTTGCTGCTGCGTCTAGCGGGACGTCGGCCCGGTCGACCTTAGGAACGGGGTCCTCTCTCCCAGCTGGGGTAGACGTCCCCCCTCGAATAGAGTCACCTCTGCCGTCTATCACAGCCACCTCGCCCCGCCCTTCCACCTTCCCATCCGGCTTGCTCCCGTCTAATCGTGGCGACGGAGAACGAGCTTCCGTTCGCGGTCCTGCCGCCGCTGTAACTGCTGTGGCGCCGTCAAGCGTCATCTCTTTGTCTCCGCCACCGCCAGCGCGCGAGACGTTATCGACGGCTTCCGCCCCGCCGCTACTGATAGCGGTCCAGGGCCGTCTCCTCCTGGCACGCCGCTGCTCCCGCATGTCCCACCACTTCTTCTTCTGCTGCTGCTGCTGCTGCTGCTGCTGCTGCTGCTGCCGCACACCTTCCGAACCCGTGGTCTCCCAGGCAGGTCTGGCCGATGAGTATACGGGCCTGGAAATGGTCGATCGTTGGTATTGGGGTTGCCATTGGCGGTGGAGAGGGCGGCTACGGCCGTTGCCGATGAGGACGGTCTTGTCGGCGGCGACGTGATTTCGGGCGGCCGGCGGCGCCAGGAAAGCTAGTGGTGCAGAGGAGCGCTGAGGAGGAACAGATGGTGCTGTAACGACGAGCGCGATATTTCGAGAGACGGGTGTCCGCGGGGGGGCGAAATCAGGTTATTGGAGATGGGGGACGACGTGGCCTGGGGAAGCACGATGAGAGGTGTATTTCCAGCGTTTTTTTTCATCCTCTGGTGACGATATCAAGAGTGAAGCTGACAGAACTCAGTCGGTTCCCTCCCACGTCGTGGGCCTCACAACTTTGCTCATCGGGTCCAGCATCGCTCCCGAAAATTCTACAAAACTCGATCTCGAGGAACGGTCAACCGCCCGCGCCCTGCTGTCGACAGCAGAGCTCACTTCCCTCCGTCGGGATGTAACCGCGCACGCTGTATGCGACAAACCCAGGGCGTTACAGGGAAATTGTCCTCCCGGTAAGTACACGGGCAAACAGCTATGAAGCTGTTGCCGTGTGTGCACTCGGGTGCATGTTTCGTCAAAACAGCAACTTGGACTTTGGACGAAGTGCGCTTGGCGGCAGATAGAAAGAGTTTGTTACCAGAGGGGCGACAAAGCCTCAAGTCCGCAATCAGACACAGGTACTGCAAAGGCCTTGCCATTGGCACTGCGGGTGCATGCTTCACAACCTCTGGGATATTTCCTTATAGACTCACTCACGAGTGCAACACATGACTGCGGTGTAATATACGTTTGGACGCTTTGAACGACTTCATGTTTCGTTCTCGACGAATCCGCTAACTCATCTACGTCCAAATTCACACGTCAAGCAACATGCCCTGTGCTACTGCTCGGTTCTTGAAGGGCGGCGGGCCAATCTAATGCAGCGTCAAGGATCTGCGAGAGCTAGTTGAACTTACGTACGTATATACAACTCGAAGTAACGCATCCCTAGTGTGGACTGCTGTGTGGCAGACTCGAGACATTTTGAGTACCTGCTTCAGCGCTCGGCCACGATCCAGGAAACGCACATTCCGAGAGGGAAGGGAGGGCCACGCTCGCAACAAGCACTCGAAACATCTTCTCTTCTACCCCTCTCTCTCTGCTTCTCCTTCCGGAAGACAGAAGAGGAGCACAGAGTGCAAGACCGAGGTGTCTGGTGTCGGTGTGAGGTGCCGGGCGCCAATAATGGGTTTCCACGAAGTTCCCGCGGCAAGAAGTAGCTTCCGTTCAAAATTTGGCGTCGGCAATGCATCGTGATGCCTGGGTCATTTCACCGTCCGGTTCCTGGGCATGAATAGAGAGCTAGGCACACAACTCAAAGTTCGTCGTCTTTCGCGTCAGTGGGGGGCCAGGGTGCGGCGAAACGACCGCGCAGATCCGAAAACCAGGCCGTTTGGCCTAATTGTTTGTGTATAATTTATCATCCAGTTGCGCTGTAACATCTGCCCTCCTACGTAGGTAGGCTTCCAGGAGGCGGCCTCCGGCCGGCCGTCGCCTTTTCCATTGAACAAGGCCGACCGGGGGGGTGGGCGTGGAAGGGAATCCCTTGGCCGCTTGTGACACTTGAAACTACGGACGTGTATGCATATTGCTAAACGTACACCGGCGAAAGAACCAAGGATGAATGAGCGAAACATACAAATAAATGTTTTGATGGAGAGGTCGTGTCGATTTCCATGCGATCAGGCGTGATCTATTCGATGCTCGAGGGATGAGGCGGCAAGGAGGCCTCGATGCCACTTTGACAGGAGACGAGAGAGGGCGCACAGACAGCACGACGGGCAACCCAAACTGCTTTCTTCGTAGGTACGCGAATGGGGCTTCCACTTTTCCGTCGCGGACCCACAGCGGAGTATCGGTGTGATTGCCACTGTACCATGGGGAGCACAGCACCCACAAGACCACAGATATAACCCAAACACCCACACATTACCACGCCGGAACCATCGCGAAGGTGTTTTCTTCTCGGCGTCGAAGTGAAAAATCTTGGCACCGGCAAAAATCCGAAAGGCAAACGTCGAGACCGGTTCTCTTTTGGGCGTAACATCGGTATGGGAGCAAGAGACAGGACCAACGACCAACATACGTGGTTGCCCGACAGAAGAACAACACGGACATACAAAGGCGTTTCATTCAAATCGCCAACTTTGGGTGATCAACTTTGTTGTCAACGTCAACGCGTTCTCGGCGAAATGGTTCTCGTGGCACCACGAATCAACCCTCCTTGCCCCCCCCCCTCCTGACCACATGACACCTTCATATACCAACACTCCTGATGTAGATGCTACAGCCATGACCTTGACTTGAGCATCACTTGCAGACGGTATTCACAGATATTCCGCCGCCTCAGTCACCCCCCTCTGTGCTGCGAGCCATGTACCGACGGGTTCTCCGCCCACATCGTGTACTCTCCTATCCCCCACCCTTGCCCGGCGTTCTTGGAAGAAAACCTGCCCCATCGTGCCTACCAACGCTGGCCGTAGGCCCCCTGAACAGGCTGAGAGCTATCTGCACGCGCAGAGAGAGAAAGAGAGAGAGAGAGCTATTTCGCTCAGAGCTATTTCGCTCAGAGCCATTCTCCAAGAACGCCGTTCTTCCAGACGTTGTGAGCTTCTCAGCTCCGCAGGCCCCGCGATTCACATATCTCGTTCTTTCCGCCCGCGGCGGCGGTTCTCCGACGAGACTCCCCGCATCGATACAGCAGTAGTCGGCACTTCCGGCGAGCAGGCAACGCTCGACAGCTACGTCAAAAGTCGGCGCGGCCGAAGCGAAGGCCCGAGTCATAAAAACCCAGAATGCATGACAACACCACTACATAAAAAACCGGCCGCGTGGGCAGGTGCTGCCGACGAACGGCAAGCTCTACGAAGGCGACATCGGCGGCGGCGGTGGTGGCGGTGGGGTGAGGACGACGGTAATGACCAACGGTGACCTCCTCGGCGGCGCAGCAGCAGGAGCCCTGTCCCTGCCCCGATCGCGCGGGATCTCTCTGGCCCGCCCCCGGTCCGCGCGGGCGCGCCCCAGTCGCCCATCACCGTAGTCGTGCTCGACCTCGTGGCACTCCTGGTCCCGCTGCTCGTCGCTGCGTCTCTCGGCTGTTCTTGCGCTGCTAGCTTTCGCGGATGACTGCCGGGTTTCCTGCCGTCGGTCTCGGGGAGGCTCGGCGGTCGCGGTCCCATCAGCACCGGGGCAAGCGGCGCCAACGCGGTGGTGGTCATCGTCGTCGTGGCGCTGTCCTGATCTATTCCAAAGGCGGAGAAGCCCCCAGGCCCACCCGGCCTTCCTCCTCCTCTTGTTGGCTCTTTCTGCCTCCTCGTTTCTCTCCTCGTCGTCTGGCTCATCACTACCACCGCCGGGAGGGCACGGGTGGCGTTCGCCGGTGGCGGCAACGGCGGGGGTCGCCGCCGCCGCCGCCCCGCGCCTCCCTCCGTCTCCAACCCGTCGAGGGTCCACCACTACCTCGTCGCCCCGGCCACCGCCGCCTCGTCGGTCCGCTGGAACAGCCACCACCGCTTCTTCGCCGGGCTCGGGCCTCGGCCGCTTCTTGCCGCTAGACGATCGGCGCCCTTCCTCCTCCTCCGCCGAGCCGGTCCGCCGCCGCAGAGAGTCGACGCCCCGCCGCACGCGGCTTCCCGCCCCCGCTTCGCCACCCTCGCCGTAGTCAGACCCTGACCCGCTTGGTGATACCGGCATTGGGGATGTGGATGTTGCGTCTGCGGTTCCGTGTGGGCTACTATTGCGAGGCGGAGGCGGTGTGTCCGACGCCTTTTCGGGAGCGGCATCGCGCCGCCGCCGTGGCCGTGGGTGATGGTGGGGGGCAAGCCGAGGCGCTGGAGCCGGAGGGAGAGCAATGTTGATCCCCAGGAGGTGGGCTGTGCCAACTTTGAGCTGTGGCTGACACCGTCGAGAGAGCGGGGGAAGGTCGGGGGGGGCGAGAAAAATGCGTCGATGGTCACCAGTTCCCACTTACTGGCCGAGGCAGCGGAAACGTTCTATATAGCGTCGGTGTGTGTTTGTCATGGAGCGCAGGCGGAAGCTGCGTGCCAGAGCCACCACCGTGGTCTACGATTTCTCCCCTACTGGGCGTGGCACTGGGAAAGCGGAAGATGCGGTGCTACATCGCGTTCCGTTCCCTACACTCGCAGTGGGTCGTTAATTAGGGGCCGAAGCTACGAGACTACTGTACGAAGTGATCGCGGACATTTGTTCTTCAACGGGACACAAGCACCGAACATTGACGCAGGATCAAAATTTCGAAAAGCTGTGCCCCCCCGCCCCCCAGAAAAAAACACGTCTCAACCCTAGCCTTCCCGCTCCATACGGCTCACCTCACACTCCCTCTCTGCGGAAGCTTCCGGCGGACAGAGCTCCACCGGCGCATCTCCCCATTCCAAAGGAACAACGTCGTTGGCTCGATCCCCTCTAGCGGTACCACGGACACCAATGCCCGCAGTACCACACCCGCCGGTGGTAGAGTCTCCACGAGCGCCCCCGCCCACTTCCTCTCCGACCCCGCTGCTTCGGCCACCGCCGGTGGGACTCTTGCCACCGCGACAGTCTCGCCTGACGCGGTGCCGTTCCCCGTCATCTTCGTGGATGTTCTGTGAGGGGATAATACCACCACCAACATGTATTGTGTTCCGAACGGGGGAAGGAGCGTGCGCAAGCAAGTGGTTGGTTGCTCAGCAAGTACACGAGGCCATTCTGTCCTTCCAAGTACGAAGTACTGTACTAGACTTCTGAGGGTACGAGGCACGAGAGCGAAAAACGTTTCTGCCCCTTCGAGCAGAAAGCAAGAAGCATCCCGCGCGCGAGAAGGGAGACAGAAAAAATCTCCGTTTCCGAAGAGATGCATGCCACTGCTGAAAAAGTAGACCGCAAAAGGGACCAACTGCTGTACAAGCAAGCGAGCCAACACAAGCCGCTCGCCCCCCCCCCTGCAGCAATGGGTGGACACCGATGCTGACAACCAAGAAGCGGATCGGGTGGAGGAACCTCGCCGCTTTTTGAGGCAACCGAGTGAACGAGGGTGGGCTTACGTGTGGCCGTGGCCGTGGCGATGGTGGTTGTGGGAGATACACCCCCCCCCCGGTGTGTAGGAGCCGGGAAACCACCATAGGCGTTTTGGTCCGGAGCTGAAGCACAACCTGCTCCAACACGTTCGGAGGGCGAGGACCAATAGCAACAGAGGCGAAATAAAAAAACACATTGGCATGAGACTTCCGGTAGAGAGCAAGCAGCGTGGGGGACAACCGGATGGTGGGTAGTGGACGTGGGGATGGTCTTGTTCTGCACGTTTCCTCATAACCTCACAAACCTCCCGGAAGTTGTGCTATGGGTCGCAATACACTACAGAAAGTTTGTCACGAGCCGTTCGTTTGGTCGTGTGATTTCCCCAGTCCTTTTGCACGTCGACTCAAGGTTGACTCCAACGCCAACAACAACCTCGAGACCCCGCAAACTAGCCCTATGAGTTACAAAACCCGCAACCAGGGCAAAAGAGAAAAGCAAGCCAACTTTGACACAGTGGGTAGGGAGCGCCAAACGTGCGCCCTAACTAGCTAGCAAGAGTGTATGTGTTCAACAACGACGAGCTACCAACACAATAAAGGCCCGAAAGTGGAACTCGACCAGCCTCTCTCAACCAACCGGACAACCACAAACAAAATCTGTACAACGGTTCTGCGTCTCAACAACTGGGCACGACCACCGATGCCCAACAGAAACGTCGCCCCGTCACCTGCAGCTGCATGACGGGGTACGACTCCGGCCCCGGCTCAACCTCCTCAACGCCAGCAGCACGGGGTTCCCTCTCCCCGTCCCCGGCCCCAGAACATGCGGCGCCCACCAAGCCAACGTGTCGAACCCGAACCTCACTCCGAAGTAGCTCCACCGAGGCGCTGCTACCGCCCCTAGCCCCGTCGAGGCCTAGACCGTCCTGACCCCTGGCGTTCGGTAGCGGTAGGCAAAAGCAGCACACACGGGAGGATGATAGCTCACGGATAGCCTCTGTTGCATCATCATCGCGAGAAGCCGGCCACGGGGGGGGGTATCGGGAAAAAAAAGGTGGTCCCTCCGCGACAACCGCGACGTACACCGGACAAAAACAGACCCAGGACGACATTTTTTCGAGGCAAGAACGCGACCAAGGGTCTACCTTTGCGCCGCCCTGGTGTCTCGGCCGCCATCGGCATCGACAACAGTAGCAGCTGCCGGCGCGACGACCCCTCGCCGCTCCGACTCCATTACAAGCCGCAGCATTTCCTGCGCGAGGGCAGAGTAGACAACCCGCACGACGACTCTTGGGGGCCCCGGGAGCGACGGTGCCGGAGGCCGGGCGACCGCGCGACGCGCCGACTCGCCGGGCGCCGCGGCAGCGCCTCGGCGACCCCCGGTCAGCCAAGACAGCGGGCCGCGCCAAGCGCTGCCCTTTCCCGCCGATACTACCGCCGACGGCCCTCCGCGATCGCTTGCGGTAGGGGTGGCGCCGTTGTTCGAGGCCGTCGGTGCTGGCGGCCAGGGGACCTTCGGCAAATTTGTCCTCAGGGCCTTGACCACGACCAGGCTGGAGGATGGCCGAGCGCCGGCACCAGCGGCGGCGGCGGAGGTGGCGGAGGCGGTGCGGGGATTGGAACTGCTTTCGCCACCGCGTGCGCGGAACACTCTCATGGCCCAGTCCTCGCGGGGGTCACCGTCATACCCTTCGCCGGTCTCCTCGCTGCTGCTGGTCCCAGCCGAGCTACGGTCGCCGCTACCGCCTCCGCCAGCGGCGGCAGAGCCGGGCGGTGCGGCACGCTCCGGACGCGAGAGGGTCAGGGCAGACGCCAGGGGAGGCTGCGCAGCGGGTGCGCTCGCCGTCGCTGGTTTCCACGCCGCCCACTTGGCAATGGCCCTGGGATACGGGGAGAAGGCCAACACAACACACACACACACACACACAAGCGCTTGACCAATATTTGCTTGGTTGGTTGGGTTTTGGTGCCTTGTTGCATGTCGCTATTTTGGAGATACGGCAGTTCCTGACAAACGTGGGCGGGGAGGGGGACGAACTGGCTGACATCGGGAACGACTGGTCAGGTGGAAAGCAAGGAAGGATTGACCGCAAAAAGTCGCTGAGGGCATCTGACAACAAACACAACAACGACGATGACGCTGAGGTACCTCAAGCTCTCGCCCTGCTTTGCCAGCAGCGCCGCCGCGCGCACGTCTCCGTCGAGCGCCGACAGCGCCGCGGCTAGGTGCCGCGCCGCCGCTGCGGTCCGGCCCCCAACCCCAACCCCGCCCCGTTCCCTCCCGCCGGCGCCGACAGCACCGCGCCCGTTCTCGCCGAGCGGTAGGGTACCAAGCAAACCGCGCGGAGTCGCTGCTCGTCGGCCGAAAACCGCCTGAGTCACGGCACACACCGAACACACCGGCAAGTCATGGCCGTGCTCTCGCGGCACTACTACCCCTATTCTAAAGCACGGCGAAGCTTCAGCGGACTCATTGAATGGTGTCTCTTCGCTCTCCGAGTCGGGGCTAAACCTTGCCGTATTGATGCCGTGCAGCGGCGCCTCCTTGTGAGGAAGAATAGAGCAACGCATGAATGGGCGGCGAGCTACTAGCTCGACCAAACACAGGAGCCGCAAAAAGTCCGCATCTTCTTCATCGATGGCGGCGGCAAAAGTGGTTGCGGGGTTGATGGTAATCTGGCATCTTGAAGCTGCTATCAATAGTGCCAACACCGGCGGACTCATGAAAGGACATCAGTCTCGACGGGGCATGAAACGCCAAAAAGCCTCTGACCCGCAGATGCCCCAGATATGGGAGAAACCGAAGGGATCGGCCTTAAAAATATCAAGAATGCGGGTTCGGCGCTCGGATCTAGACCACTAACAACAACACCAACGTTCGTGTTCGCTACGCTTGCAATAATTTGACCGTGCCAACCGCCCGTCAAACGTGCCTATTCGGCCAGTGATACCATGTTTTTCGAGAGACCAGTGCATATACCACTGCATAGTCGGCGCTGTTTCTTCCGTCCACAACGGTCTCGGCTCTCACTAGCTACTTGCGGACACAATACACTCCATCTTGCGGAACAAGTCTAGCTCACCGCTAGATTAGCCTGGTGGCATTCGGCTAAGCCCGCTTCCACCGCAGCATGCAGCGGCCTGAACGCCTGCTGAAGCTCGGGAACACCCTATTTGTAGCCATACCGGGATATGCGAATCAGCGGGCGGGGAGGGCAATGGGGGCATTACGTTGTCATTCCGTACCACTTGTACTCTCCTTGGGGTTGTAGAGCTGCTGAAAAACAATGAATATGACTTGACGCGACGTTAACGAACAAAAAAGTTCGAAACACTTGACCAACAAAAATAAAGCCCACAAGTTTCAGCCTGAGCCATGGGAGGGTACGCAGGGCGTCGACGCTATGCCTCAATAAATTTACCGCTGTCCCGACATCACCCCAACGCGTTCTGGTCAAGTAACACATTACTCCCGCTGGTCCTTGAGGAAACGTTACGCCTCGGCAAGACACACTGCGCCTCGCAGCACAATGCACGTTCGTCGCCCAAATCCGTGTTATCAAGGTACAAATATCGAGGGTTTCCATGTTCCTTCTTCCCCTCGCTGCCTCGGCAAGGTTTTGCTTAGGCATGACCCAAAGCGAGGGGGGGGGTCTTTCTAGCGAGCAGGGCTAGACTCACCCTCAAGGGACCGATACCTTCTTGCTACGGCGCACCCGCCGCGAGGCGTGCGCAGTGGTGGAGTTGGGTCGGCACTGGTGCGTCAGGTACAAAGGTGCAGATGCGCGGGCCTCGAGGCCGTCGGTGCAGGCAGCAATGCCCATCTCATCTTTGTGCGCGGAGGCAGACGCCATCAGAAAGGTGGACGGGCACTATGTACACGGCCCTATGCTTGCTAGAGGGAGCTGTACTGTCTCAGTAACCTGGTTTTGCCATGAAATGAGGAGGGGACAGGTGGTGACGAGCTGACTGGGCTGGTTGACCCTTCGGCGCGAGAATTTTCAGACCAAGAACCCTAAGTGCAACGAGGGAGAAAGCGAGGAACCGACTGGGAAGGACAGCAACGAGAGCGTGTACGAAGCGGAGCGGGTCGAGTTTGGTCGTGCTAGGATTGGCCACAGCGACACCGGAGAAGCGGCACCGGAGCAGCGGCACCGGAGCAGAGCGGAACCGGAGCATGCGGACGGCATCGAACCGTGTCGCACGGACAAACATCTCTTCTTGTGTTGTCAATTATTTTCCGTTTTTTTTTTCCTGAATATAGGTGTTAGGTGTGTGTAATGACGTCACTGGTTTTGTAGAGAGACGCGGCAGAGATGGCGCGGATAACCCGGGTGCCTTAATTGTGTACCTGCATCGTGGAAGACCCCTTCAATGTGGAACGATTCCTAGTCAGTGTCGATGTTTACACTGCTGTGTCTAACACAGATGATCTGGATAGATTCGGGCGATTGTCAATTGCAATGATGGCTTTGGTTGGTTGTTCTTCTTCATTGTATGTCCACGGGCCCATTCTGACAGCACTTCAGACAGCAGCTGCATGCCCCGAGCTTGTTGTGCACCATACACCATGGTGTTATTTTTGTACAGACAGCACTTCAGACAGCAGTACGCTGTAGTCGACAAACATTCATTTTGGTGAAGTGCGGGACAAGGGGGGGGGTGATGCCGCCTGCTGTAGTCAAATTGTAGTGTGTGGGCGTGTAGTTCAGTTGTGAGCACGCAAACGTGCTGCAGGGATTGTAGGTGTACCTCCTCGGGCTTGTGTACCCTTTTCTTGCTAATAGTGTGCGTGTTCTTTAGATCTTCCGATGGCTTTAGCATTTTTGTGACCACGGGCCGAGTCTTTGCCAGATTTTGGGATTAGCAACTGACACGAGTTTAATGTGAAGAAAAACAACAACAACAACAACAACAACAACAACAACAACAACAATGTAGCCTGAAAAAATGGTCTGATTCTGTAGTCTCAAGCCATGCAACCAAACGCTCACCTGGGCCACAGAAGGAAGGGGCCGTGTCCACGGCAGAGCAACCGATCCCCCTTTGCCTGCACCATCTGCTATGCACAGAGAGGCGAATCCCCTATTGAAATCTGATGCACCATACGCCTTCAAGCCAACCTCACAAGCAACAACCACCAACACACCTGCGCCACACATCGCAAGGCGTCGACATTTCCCGCCGACTGCCACCTCAGCTCTGCCAGCTTCAACGACAGGTTGTACACCTCATCAGCCAATGAAAGGGACTGGGGAGGGCCCACGACACTGGCGCTGCTACCGACGCCACTCCTGTCGCCGGGCGCGGCGGGGGCTTTCGTCATTTGGAGTCCTCCCAACAACTGCTGTGTCAGGCACACGTCCTGAAACCGGAGGACGTGACGCGGAACACGGAAATCTTTGTGGTAATGTTTCCAAAGAAGGCAGCCCGTAAAAAACGTCGAATGGTCACAGCAAGTGTACCGCGGAGGGGGAGTGTCGGCAGGCAAGCAGCAGACGCCTACTCTCGACAGGCGGCCACGGTGATTACAAGGGGTAACTCACGAACGGCCCATTTGCCTACGGCGTGGTTGGCGTGCGTGGCGACTACTGTTTCTTACATGTAGGTTCCGAACAGCAGAAGCTAACAAGGCGGCTATGTGTCTTGCGCACGTGTCAAGCTCCTTCTCCCACCGGATGGTGGTACTGCAGCAGAGATATGTCGTGATTTGGTAACGGACTAGCGTGTAGGCCCCTCGACCCGCACTCGCCGTGTGTCTGGCGCAGGAATGACAGCATGACAAATGCTCGCGACGTGCGGTTGTACCAATTTTTCCAGATACAGTACTGTAGTCGATCGATCTCGGGAAGATACATTATTCACCATACCAATCGTTGCATGAACGAGGTTTGTGTTCTCGGTGCATCTACTGCTGTACATGACAGCAGTCAAGTGCTAACTTTCACTGCTTGTGTGTATACCATCAAGGTACATAGTGTAATGGAATTACAAGGGCAGGGGTGCGCGGAGGAAGTTCTGACTGTTGTTGTATCTAACATATTGCGTATGTGGTGTGTGGAGATTTTGTTGGCCCGAAAAGCTCAACTACACGCAAAATAGTGCAGCGGCACCCATGCAACCTCGATACCAGCCCTCTCACCCCGCCTCTTTTGTCTCTTATCTCTCTGAAGCACGCACGAATTGGTGAAATGACGGTAGTCACCGCGGTCTACTATCGCACCCCGACTGTTTTCAAATTCAAAGCTACATCCAATTTCCTCACACCGTTGCTGTTCTCACCGAAATGTCATCCTCGGATACAAGAGATTCTCGTGCACAACAGAAGGATAGGAGACCAGAGCACAGGAAGCGACACAAGTATCCACACGCGATGCGTGACACGCCCTTCCAGCAATATGTTGCGGTTTGCAGTTTGTTGTTGTCTGTTGTTCTGTGTTCAGGTTCAGCATCTTGCATCAGCACTGGGGCACCGCAGATCAGAACCGTATTTCGGAAAGTGAGGGACCCCAAAGGTTTTATATAGAAACGAGGCGCCAAGCAGTGCAAGTTATTTGTAACGGCCTCGAGAATAGATTATTGTACGAATAAAATCGAGTTCGACTTCGTTCGAATCGTGGATTACAAAGTGGGCTACCTGCGTGTTGTTGCGCACGACATTTTCTGTCGCATGTGCCTTCAACCAACGGTCGTGCTTTCGTACCTGTGGCAAGTGCACTTGTCAGAAGTGCACCCTGGCTGTGCACGTTTGTCCGGAAGGGATATATTCCCGCTTTTTTTCGATTCGGGCGAAGACTTGGAGGTGTCATCTGCCCGTCGGCACGTTTGAAAAACTATTTTCGCCACATGGGCAGCAACATGCGTACCGCGGAGAGTAGCTCGCTTGACACGGGCAACGTCGCACCGGCAGTACCTTCCGCTCTTTCTGCTTCTCAGGCAGAGCAGAGGCCCCAAGCAATTGCTGTCAACAACTCAGTGACAACAATCGATGGGCAGTCAGACCCAATCCTCACCAACATCGCGACGGGGGTCCGAGCTCGATGGAGTACAAAGAGAAACGAAGAAGCGGCACCCAGAAAACCAAGTAGACTCCGTCTCCAAAGGATTTCGAAGCAGTGCCTGCCGCGTGGCGGGACATACTTGTCAACGGTTATCGGTCCCATCCAGGTGAGATTTTTGAGTGAGCCCACTGGGTTTTTCGTTTTTCATGACGATGAAGTCAGGACAGCAACAGACCTCTTTATCTCCATCTTTCAGTCTACGGGGGTGTGAAGGCTGGACTGTCAGTCCCAAGCTGTAATCACCACAGAAAGAAAGCAACGGGGGGGGGGGGGGGTTGAGTGAGGGAGGGAGAGGTGAGAAGTGAGGAAACGAGACTGTAGACGCAACGGCTACAGAATCTCTGTAGGCCACGAGGGCGATAGGGTGTTGAACGCTTGCACGCCCTGTACTGGACATGAATTGCTGTGCACCAGAGGTGACTTGGAGACCAACGTAGCGTGCCACATGCTGAACCTTTGACGCCTTCACGAGACCCTTCAAACGTGGGTACATCGTTGTGTTCCACCACAGAAAGTGAGACAAGTGCCAGCGAGCGGGTACCATCCCACCCTCGTTATCACCTCTCGTCCAGAAGTATCTAACCAGTGGTGGCCAAGCCATCCAACCAGAAAGTAAAAATAACACTATTGCCCTCTGATCAGTACTCTGCGCTAGGGCGTCTTCACGATGTATCTCCGGATGCTACAGTACGTGTAGTCGTAATCAGACAACCGCCCATGATGGGCTTTTCCCACATTCGGTAGCGTGCTGAGATGGCACGCGGGTGGCCTGGGCAGGTTTTATATCTCGTGCCCAACCTCCCCACAACCTTCCTTGGCAGCTAGCCCTGCATCACGGATTGCGACGTTGGTTCAATCAATAGGGTAGACTGGCCGCGTAGACTACACACTGTCCAAGGTCGATCCCCAACGCCCCAACCTGACCCCGGGAACGTTGGGCACCAGTTACGACCTCCCTTGGCCACCGGTGCAAGTACAGTACCCGCGGTGAATGTTGCTGCTTGGAAACAGTCGATACAAGTGTGCCTTATAGCCATTCTACAGCATGTATTCCCTTCAGCAGCTTTGCCTTCACAATGGACGCTCAAACATACACATTTCAAAAGGCTACTAGCGCACCTCGTGATCGCGTTCAGTCTCCAACGCATTGTCCACAAACAGGTAGGTATTCCCCCCGAGACCATCAAGGACTCTATGGCTCTTGGCCTGCCCGTCCCGCAGTACTTCGTGGTGCCCCCGGAGAAGTTTTGCAGGACGTTGGGCAACAGCTTAGGTGTAAACGTCGCCGAGTTCGAGTTCCCGGCGTACTACAACTTCTTCTTAAAGGTGAAGACCCTATGTTCGTCTGTTGAACATCTGTAGCATTGCTGTCCTAGCGCAACCGTGACACGGGGCCAATGCAGAGGACTGATTGTTTGGACACATGAAACCACTGAGTAGTTTCCCTTTTGTATGCACGTCGCTGTGGCCTTCGGTAGAACTGAGTGTGTACGCTGCAGGTTTCGTTGATTCCGTCAACCTACTACGTTTGCTCAACCAGAGCTTGATGAACACCTTCTGCGTCCATGATACGCCGCAGACGACAAGGGGACCAAGGCACCTGGGTCTTAATGCTGGCTGTTCAGAACGCAGTCAAGGCATCCAATGGCCTCAACAGATGGGCCATCCAATGGCCTCAACAGACGGAGGGCCCATTGGTTGTGTGATGGGCTTCGCGCGATGTTTACAGCACTCACTCAGTCCACAACTTATATCCACGACTCGCCAAACGCCTCCTTGCTGTCCCAGCTAGTGTTGGCTATGCCGGACGAAAGTGGTCCTGCCCGGTTATACGTAGCACCAGCAAATTTCAAGGTCAGCTGCAATGCCTGAAAACCGCGCAAACAAACAAAGCGAGGCAACTCCCCTTTCTCTCCCGCTACGCAATAGTAGGGCAACACGGTGAAGCTGATCGTTGACTCCGTGGACACCGAGATCAGAATTCGCGCTCTGATGCAGGAGACTCTTCTCGGCCCTAAAAACGTCGACGCCTCGGTCGACTTCCACGAGTCGGTGCCTGTGGAGAACAGGCCGGACATTGGGAAGGAGCTCTCATACTTTCGGGCCTTCAACGGAAAGTGAGTTAGAAAATGGTGGGACGAGACCGATAGATGGAAGTACTGTCATGGAGACCCATACAGCTGCAAGTGTTGAGTGGGGGGGGCGACATGGTGAGCAATGAACCTTGATCATGATGATCCACCGTGTATGTAGCGCACACTTCACCGAGCGTGAGTGTTTGGGTTGCGCCGTGCGGCACCGCCTACGTCAAAATGCCAACTCCACGTTGGCGCCATTCGCTGCAAAGCTACCTATCAGCTTCAGAAACGCGTTTAACCAGACCTCTTTATCCCCACCCTGCTTGTTGTCCATGCGCTCACCGATATCCACCGCTCGTGCTCACGGCACACGCCGCCCATCCATGTGGATGGCAAACACACGGAAAGGGAACTGTCTATCGACCTCCTCATCACCTTTATCCACCAGAACAGTGACGGCATCGTGATTCTCGACGGTGTGGACGGCACCCCTGGAGCCGACTGGTGCATTTCGATCGCCGTCTCAAATGCCGACGGGGGGCAGTACATCTTCACCGAGCACCAGAAAGGAGGCAGCGACCCCTCGCACGAGAACGCAGCACGGCTTAGTGCAGACGATTCCGAAAGCATGGTCAGCGAGGAGGATGTTTGGGAGGAGGAAAATCCGATGCCTAACGCCATCGACGTGAGAACAGCGGGAGACACGAACGACACCCTCCGCCCCACCTCTCTGAGGCATGAATCGATTGCGAAGCACATGTCGGTACACCTGACCGAGGGGGACAGCGAAGACGAGAACACGGACGAGTGCTCGAAGAAGGGAAATTTTTCGTCTAGAGGCTCTAAGGAGTCACCGATCATCAGGGAAGAAAACAGGCAGGGGGAAGACGAAAGAGGGGGAACAAGAAACGGGCGAGAAGGAGAGGGGCGGGGCATTGAAAGGGGCCAGGGAGCGGAATCGCAACCAAAGCACGCGCCCATTCGGCAAGTGGGTGATTCAAGCTCCAAGGGAAAAAACCAAGACTCCACCAGCTCCGACGAGGCCCCCGACAGGCGCCACTTTACCCCAACACGACCATCGTTCAAACCAAGCTTTGGCAATCAGCGGTCAGAAGTGGGACGCCCCTTGGGTTCCGTCGCTAACTGGTTTGGCCGGTGGCTCGTGCACGCGCACATTGGCGAAAACAAAAGCCGAAGCGCCGACGATGGTAGTATTGACAGGGATGGCAGGATCTCGAGAGTAAAATCGGCCGAAGTCGAAGCTAACACACAGTTGGAGCCGCCGCCGGCGGCAGGAAACAACGTGTCCAAGGCTGGACGAGAGTCAAGGAACGCGAAACGGACACCTCGGAGGATATGGGCACCGGGGTTAAACGGTTGGGTGCGGACGGGGATTCCGTCTCTGAACGGATTCCTTCCTGTACGAACAGGAGAGGTTTCGATGACGTGCCCGCTACCGACGAAGTTGCCGTCTCAGCCCGAGCAGACGGAAGATGAGTTCATCGCCCCGACGTTCGGGACCACGGTGCTCGGGAACAGCCATGGGTTTGATCCGAACGGGCGAGTGAAAATTCAGCTTGTGGAGAGAACCTCGATCCACCGTTCATTTCGCCCGAAATCAGGTGTTGTCGGTCCGAGTTCCTCCTCGATAGGCCCGAGTGATGGTGCTGCATTGCTTGAGTTCCCCAACTAGAACCAATACTCACGATCACTTTCAGATCCGAGTAAGAACAGCACTAACGCTAGCCAGCCTGAATTCAGTCTTTCAGGCGCGAATTCAGACCTGAAATCAAGTCCTGAATTTGAAATCAGGCCCTGAATTCAAAACTGAAGTTACGCTGTTGATTGGTGACGTGTAAACTGTTTTAGTCCCAAGCTTACCCTCCTAGGGCCTGAACCTGCAGCCTGAATTCACATTCTAAAGGCCTGATGGTGTTTTCTCATTTGACCTCAAAGCGCGTGATACAGATCGGAGTCCGCGCTTTCAACGCCCGAGTCCACCCCTCCCTGCAGAACCGCCCGACCTTTGGTGCTGTTGTGGGCCTGTATTGACCCTTCTGTGCGGGGCGATTGTTGGTTTTTATTTTAGCACACTACGTGTTTCAGTTGTTGCAAGCCTCAAAGCAGACTACGGCCCTGCACTCGACGTTGTTGTCGGAAGCGAGGTGTCCCAAGCCTTTATTCACCCACCCGAGGCTGAGTTCACTCTCCTACGGCTTGAACCAAGGTGCTCTATGTAGCCTGAACTTCCCAATGTAGACGAGCGCAACAATGCCCTCTGGGCCAAGAGTCCGGTTGAAGCCTGCGTTCCTACTCGTCCCGTCTGAATCCATCACATGTCGGCCTGAGTGAGTACGGCCGTGGTGTGGGGCTGACAGCCATCATCTTCTCGTAGACCTGATGGGGCTTTCAAGGTGCAGAGAGGGCTGCAGTACCTGTTCAGGTTGTGGGCGGGTGGGGTAAGGTGGTGTAGACCTGACGTTCCCATCGTATTTACCCGGTTTGGGACATTTAGCGCTACATTCAAGATTTCCCGGTAGTGGTACTCGCGCGGCATCTCCGGGCCGCAATGTCGGAACAGCCCAAGTCCAAAGGTTCTCCCGCGCTTTGCGAACGTTGTCTCATGATCTTGAAAATTAGGAGCACAAGTGGATACGTCCTCTGGATAAACGGGAGAGGATATATGATAGACCCGCCGCCCTACGCCAGCATGATTCTGCAGGCGTCCAACATCCGGTGAGTTGGTTGCTTTGCTTCGTGGCTGCAGTTTTCCAGGCGTATTTGCGGGAAAGCGCGTGTCGGCTTTTTGGCCTCTATTTGTTGAGCTCTATGCTGTATGGCATGGTTTTTTACACTGTGCTGTTCATGTCTTGCAGGCCGTCTCTTATCGCGGGAGTCATAGTGACGCACTGTCACGCAGACCACGACGCGGGAACCTTTCAGAAGGTCCTACTGGATGGCCAGGTCAACATCATTTCCACCAGGTGAGTGGGTGGTTCTTCTTGAAGGTTTCTTGTTTTTCGTCAATATTTGTGGTACATAACACGGTTCAGGAATCCAGCACTCACTAGCCAATCCCCCCTGGAACCACGCTCTCTTTCCCTACATCAGAGTTATATACCCACTCCGTCCCCTTGCGTGCCTCATCACGAGCTCGGACTTGATCCGACGCAACCAAATCAATGTTCGCACAACACATTCAGTTTCACCAGCATAACCTAGTCGGGTTGCCCTCGCCTCTCGCCCACACTCCTTCCCCCGCAACGCCCTCCTGCCGTTACGCTTTATCGGCGCATGTTATCTTGGCGTACCCTCAGGACCATTTACGAATCCTTTATCCGCAAGTACACCGCGCTCTCTGGTATGAGCGGCGACCTTATCCGCTATAGCCACAAGTTCATCCCCGTGAAGATCGGGCAGACTTTAAGGCTTAACGGGGCCTGCTTCGACTTCTTTTATACCCTTCACTCTATTCCCTGCGTGGGCTTTGAGGTGAGTATGATGCGGTAGTTGTCCCGGTAAAGATGTACGGTTGCCCCAATGCTTGTCGAGGCAGATCCTTCTGCTGAGCTGGTTCGGAACCCTGCTGTCGACCGGCACAAAATCGAATTCGTATGGTTTACCTCAACCGCACCGGATTGTTTGTGATGGCTACGTGATGAAATTGGGCCGATGCACTGAACAAACTGCTCTTTGACCAGGAAACCTCTGGAGAACAATGGTGTCGCCAAGCACGAGATCACCTATCGAATGTTTTTTCTACCTCGGACGAGCGAGTCCCGACGTTGGCCTAACCCAATGTGTTTCGGGTGTGTTGTCCGCCGTTCAAGATATTGCCCAAGCACAGACCCCTTATTTGCCCCAACTCCGCCCAATGATCTGAAAGTCGTACCACGGGGGCCTAACGTCCCGCACATGTCCCACCCATATACAGCCGGTCGCCCCGGTGGTCTAGTGGTATCCTCGTAAATCGCTAGTCGTAGAGGTCGTGAGTTCGAATCCCCATGGGGTGAAAAATTAAAATTTGCAAAATTTGCGGGTGAAAGCGAAATATAGCTGAAAGGCTCTCGTGAGTACCAAACTTCAACGTTAGCACCGTCGACGAGGGAAAGGGACGGCTGGACCCTTCTCACGATAAAAATAAAATTCAGCACGCACCGCAGGAGGAAGGTGGGGCATGAAAATTAATAAAAAGAAGAAAAGCCCTGGTGTTTACACCACCCTGGATGGTTGTAGTTGTACGAAAAAATACACTGAAAAGTGTAGTACTCTACACACGCTGAAAACTGTAGTCTCACCAAGAAAAATGGGGGAACTGTCGCCATAATAAATTGGACGAAAACACACACACACACACACACACCTTTCCGCGGCTATCCTCTCTTTGGTCAGGTTACTTTCAAGGGCAAGGGCATGGTATTTTCTGCAGACCACATGAACGATCCAGGCAGGATCCGCGAGATGTGCGAACAGGGTTTCCTATCAGAAGGGAGGCGTGATGCCCTCCTAGACTTCCCGTGGCACCACGACCTGATCTATCACGAGGCAGGGATCCCTCCGATCCACACGCCGATACAAACCCTGGAGGTGAAGACTCTCACACTTGTAGGCTGTTGGGGGTAGAAAACCTTCTTCCAACCAGGCAATAGCGTATTTTTCGGATGGGTGTCGTGTTTTATGGAAGTACATGGTGTCACATCCTTTCAGGGTCTTGCGGTGGCGCTCCGCCGCCGCAGTACGCCCCGCCGGATGACCGCAAGACGGAACTACGTGCGCAGACAGTATTGGGGAAGTCTTGCGTGCCTTCTTCTGTTTTTTTCGACAGGGCCTCGCCGACGACCTCAAAAAGCGGGTGTTCGTGGTGCACGTGAGCGAGTCCTCGATTCCCAAGGACAGCGGGCTGAAGGTGGCCCCCGCAGGGGTCAAGAACACGATGCGGCTAGACACCATCGCTAATATTCACGAAGAAGCGCTAGACGTGTTGGACCTCATTTGCTCCGTGGGAATCCTGAGCGGTGTTTCTGTGGCCCAGGTGTGTTTGCGAATTGATTGCCCTCTACACCTGGCCGTTCTGCTGTTGCACTTGCGTTGTTCTGCACTGAACGCCTTTTGGTCTCGGCCATTCGACACGAGAGCATCCCCAAGCAGTCTTCATGGCGAATACCGAGAAGACATGTATGACGCTTTACAGAAATGTACCGCTATAATACAGAAACGACGGTCTGTGAAGACTTCGATTCTTGTCTGGATTTGGAAGAGTGAATGCAAACCGTATCCTTCTCTCGAAAACACCATGAACAATCGACGTCCAAGCTCAGGGCGATCCCTTTGAACTTCTATGTTTTTCTCTGCTCCTCTTGCCTGCCGAGGTCGGTAGAAGACGCCACCGTAGGAACACCCGGTTCTGTCTCTTCAGCGTCAACTTTATTCTATAAAACTGATATCTGTTTTTCGCTGCGTTTCCCGGAAACCAGAGAGTTTGCTGAAGAGGATGTCACCGCTACTACGCAGATGAACCGTCCGCTTGGTTTCCCCTCAGGCTCATGCACGCGGGTATCGTTTGGAAATGGGTTGGCCGGAGAGCCGTTCGGTAGGAAGGCGGAAGACCGCGGTCGAGGATGACACGCGATTTACTTTACATGTGTCTGACTGACCGTGCCCGCCGCACTCGCTCTCCCGGAACAGTATAATAGTATCGGCTGACCCACCACATGTTGTTTTCTTCGTTTACTCTATCGCCAGGCGCGGTCTCTGCTGGAGGTGGCGCGGCAGGTTAGGTTTGAAGCGAATGCGATCGTCCAGCACCGCGACATTGATACCACGGATTTTGCAATCATATGTCACGGAAAAGCAATGTCCACGTGAGTCCGTCCCACAGAACGTACGGCGTATGCAGTCTTTCTTCCTGAGGGGCGGCGCGAAAACAGATGAGCTGAACTTTCCGTTCGGTCCAAACCTGTTGTCGTCCTACCACTGATTCAGATCGATGCTTGGACACTATTTTCACGCTATGCGGCAAGTCTGTGCAACGTCGGCAACACCATTATTGCTATGACACTGCCCTTGCCGCGTACAACTTGATCCGTGCCCGACATGAGCGATTGGGTGCACAACGTCATCTGGGTGCCACATTGAAACGCTTTTTCAACAATTTGTTCCAGCACCGGCCTTCGCTGTCGTCGACATTTCCACCACCTGCTTAATTTATTTTCACCAAATGCTTTTGGAAGGCTTTGCTTTCGTGTGAGAAGGTCGGTTCTACGCGGACACGTAAAGGTCAAGCTTTTCACGCCCCAAACAGGCTTCCCTGAGTCTTTGCCATATCTCCCAGAGTCTTTGCCGTCGTTTGTCCAAAGCCCGAGACCGGCAAGTCGCACGAGGCTTGGGGCGGACGAACGGAACTAGGTTGTTCGATTATTAAACATGGCGTGTCGTTCACCAGCAACATACGTACAATATCCAGTGCTGATGGCCACGAATGCTTTTGGACCAGGGACGCCAACCCCTTCGCCCTCAAACACCAATGGAGCAGCATCCACCGGGGGTCACGATCAGCCAACCACCGATCGATTCAAATGTTCAACGAATCGATATAATTTGGGCGCTGGTTAGGGTTAGGGTTAGAAACCGGGAAAACGATCCTCGAAAAGAGCAGCGTTGTCAGTGTCTAACAGGGCCACAAAATTTCGCTCGTTGGTACATCTGTATGCCTCTCGAACGACCTCGGAGCAGCGTGATCAAGGAGGCCGGCGCCCGTCGCTCGTTCGCCAAACTCAACACCGTGCTCCGACGGGGAGACTGCTACGGAGAAGAGGTGAGCAAACACGCCACAACCATGCAACTAGGTCGCGGGTGTAGTCTCCGTTGCCTCAGCCTTAGCCGGGCCCTCCTCCGTCAAAAACAGCAAACTTTGATCGAAATCAGCCGCAACGCCCATGCATTCCGGCGCGTCTCCGCGATAAAGAACGAAACGGTACGTCCTCAAGACTCTTATTGCTGGTAGTAGATGGGGATACCGGAAAACTCGACGGATTCGCCTTGAGGGCGATCTTTCCCTTCGCTTAGTTTCTCGGCAACACCGAGACAACACCGAGGCAGCACCGAGGCAGCACCGAGGCAGAACCGAGGCAACACCGACGGCCGTCAACGCCAAAGCAATGGTATGCAGGTGTCGGTTCTGCCCTTCGACAGTGGTGTCCGAGTCATTTTTTCGCCTTGTGACACTATCCCCGTGGCCGAAAAACTGCCGGCGACACGGTTACCCCTCCCAAAATATTTGGTATTTGGACTAGACTGGCGTTATCTTATCTTCGTCGAGTCAACCGTGAGCAAGCCCAGCAAGTGACAGGGTGCCTATAGAAATAAGCAATGTACTGTCGTTCAGGTCACCTGCGCGAAAATGGGCAACCAGTTCTCCAGAAACCACTTTACTCCGGGTCAGGAAGGAGCCGGTACACTCAAGTTACCGGATGCCACGCAAACATTGTTTCGTTTTGCGACGTAGCCCGAGAAGTGTGACACACACGTGAACAGCGTGTACTGCTCAATACAACCTGATATGGGAATTGGAGCAAAGATAAGGTCGAGTGCATATTTTCCCAGTCCAGCTGACGAAAACGGATTTTTAAGGTTGGTTGTCACTGATGGGTGGCCCTTTGTGTGGGATGCGCAGTTTCCATCGCCTGCGTTGTTCTGAGACGAAGGACCACAGGGTCATTCGCTAGTCTATGTATCCGCAGACTGTCGGGACTGGGGTTTCGACTTCAACGCAGGGGTTCCCTCCCCCCGTCAAGATTGGGTATCGACGTCACGCTGTTCTCGTGGCGCTCGGAAAATGCGGTAGACAGACCCCTATGTTTCGCACCCCCTGTTCGTTATGCAGCAACCATCTGTTGAAGAAACGACCACCGCACGGGGGACAGAGTGGTGGCCCCGTAACGACGGGCATTTCCTCCCGCTCCCCCGTCCCTCATCCATTGCCTCCTCTCCTACACGCACGTGAAGGGAAGCAGGATATCAGAACGTCAGCACCGTCCTCAAGATGGAAAACGTTCTCGGCCAACCCTCTCTTATCCTTGCGATTGCTTCTCTCTTCCTCCTAAATGTCCGCGAGCAGCTGTTGCTAGAAGGAAGTGTTCGGCGAAAGGGCAATGCCCACATAAAGGCGGTCACCGATATGGAGGTGGGTCTACGAGGAGTTCAACCCTGCGCTGACTGCCATGCCGATTGATTTTTGTCGAGACGTCGGGGATAAGTTTCGGGCTGTGTCTTCGTTGCTGTCCTCGTTCGTAGCACTGTTTTTCTTGCACGGTTAAGTTTTTACACGGGTAGCCGAGGGCTTGCGCGAAGTGTTACCGTGTTCGGCAAAAAATTCACACACAGTGAACCAGTACAAGCTTGCCGCCCTCTAAGAGCGGTCTCCTGCCAGACCGAAGAACTTGAGAGATGTATTTATGCTACCGGGCGCCATCTGCTGCCCTTCGTAGTATCCAGAAACAGAAGTATTTGTTCAAAGCATGCGGTCTAGACTACGACCCTGTAGCTTCGAGTAAGCACGCAATGACCCTCAGTATACGACCCCGACCCCTCGTTTCGTTTCGTGCTCAATTTGAGTTTCCATTATTTCCCTGCCAAGCCCAAGCCCGAAAATCACATCATATGTAAGCTCATTAATCATCGTCGGCCACATGATCACAAGATTTTGAACCTCAAGAGTTACGCCACCAGCTGCAAGATCGTTCTAGTTCAAAGGGTTGAGTCCAACCAGACGCCATTCGGCCGAGCAAGCTGTCTTTTTGGCGCCTTAACTCCCCTCCGTGAAAAGGTGTTGTTATTCAACGGGCAAGATCTGGAACATATCATCGATCTCAAGGCCAAGCCCCTGGAGGATACGTTCCGGCTGAACAGGTTGTTGGCCTATAATTCTGTCCTCTGCTCGCTGAGCCGAAAACAAATATTGCTGCTCGAGACCTTCACACAGGTATGTACAATGATGCCGAGAAACAAACGTTGGAGACTCCCTCCGGGTACGGGTGCTTCTACGTGTTCGCCACTGTGCCGGCAGGGATTATGCAGGAAATATGAGGGTACTAGTGAGGTGCACCTTGACTAGACGTGGTTGCCTTGACTAGACTTGGATTGCCAGAAAAACAAATTGGGAGTGCTGGCTGTGCGTAGCACCGAGAAATACGATACTACGAGCGAACATTTGAAGGCCCTCACCCTGTAAATGTGAGCACGTCAATTTCCAACAACACTGCAGGCGAAGAAACTCGCTGCGGGGGAGATCGTGTGGAAGGCAGGCCATCCGGTCGAGCAGGTGGTACTAGTTGCCAAGGGAAAGCTAGCATTTGTCAACGCAGGTAGGACAATGGAGCCCCACACACAGTAGATTGATGTTGGGATCAATATCGAACAAATCTACGCCGCCGACCCTTCGGCGTACCGAAAAATTTGCCAACACGTCCGTATATGCAGAAATTGGGTATTAGTAGATGAAGCTTCTCGTTATGGTACAGGCGGTTGATTCCGAATTCAGATCATCCTGTGACATTACGCTTTCTCGAAACCCTGGAATTTCTTTTTATGATTTTGGCAATCACGCAAATTCGAGACCCATCCGCGATGAACGCATAAGACGCATTCCGTCCCTGATTGCTGGGCCACTCTTCGAGGCTGTAGGCAACAATTGGGATTTTGGCAGAATTGGAGCGGTGTCGAGTAAGAAAGGGTTCTTGGTTGCTGGACGATCTTCCACCCCGAGGAGGACATGATAACTCTACAAGAAAAGAAGGGGGGGTCCGCGATTGATGCACACAACTCTCCTTGCGAAAAGTAAGGTTTTCAGGCGGGGTCTTGTTTCTTTGTTGTCTCTTGGCGGTCTCAAACATGCGCAGTTTCGATGCACTTCGGGGTGGTCCATGAAGTTGATCAAAATCCGAGATATACCTGTCTTCATTCCGATATTGCTCGTGTTCGGGGGAGAGCTGCACCACCTCGCTCGAAAGTGGGATGATAACCTACAGTTGAAATGGGGTTCCACCTCCTATAGTTTTGGCAAGAGTGGCTGACAGGACAGAATAAATACTCATGGACATGACGCGGCCGTTGGGTTCTTTCGTGCAGGGAAGAACGAGCTGATGAGCGGCTGGTGCCCTCGCGACGGGAACAAGTTGACGGGAGGGGAAAGGCCAAGGCTTGTCTTCTGTCCAAAATCCTTTTTGCCGGTGACGAATTATACTATCCGTCTCATTCCCGTTTTTAAGACATTTATGCGATTCGTTGATTGCTATGTGCTCTGCCGCTGACAATTTTTTGCAAAGACTCGCTTCAGGAAATTCCATGCAAGATAGTATGCCGTCTCCCCGGGGGACAACCTCCGGACGAAGGCAGCGGCATTATTAGTCGTGTTTGGGGCTATGTTTGATATCATTCGCCTATTCGAATGTTTCGTATTGGGGTCAATGGTGCGGACAACGTACTGTACCTCTCTGAGCATGTGAGTGACAAGCTGTTCTCCACGTCGGTCGATAGACCCATCGGGTGACGGTGTGATGATTTCTCGTCAACATATCTCCAAACAAGAGGCCAAAGATAACGGTAGACCTGATGTATCTGTAGTTGGTTGAAACTCTCCACGCACGACCGCATGCACCATTGGTGGATCATTCAGAAAAAATCACATTTCATAACCAACCTCGGACTTCACGCTTCGAGCAAGACGCCTGTAACATACTGTAGTTTGACGTTTGGTCGAGTGGCATGGAGGATCCTCGCTTGCTTTTAGCGTGAAGGGCTGAATGTGGACGACCTTACCGTAGTTCCTTTTCTCGCCCTTGATTGTTCGCGTTTCGCGTGCGATGCTCTTGTTGTGCAAAGGGTTCGCTGATTGGGCGAGCGGGAACAGTGTTTGATCCGCCGGGGAGCAACCACTACACGCATTCCCTCCGGGTAAGATAAAACAGTACTGAACTCACTCTGTCCTTCTCTCTCGCGGTTGATTTGTCCATTTCTTCGGTGTTTCGCTACGTGAAGGCAAAACAAGATTAGTTCGCCGCCATTCAAACCTCCCGTCGAGATTGTTGTACTTTACCACTAATAAGCGTGGAGCCTTTATTCGGCCCTTGCAAAACAACGGCCGCCCAGCTGTTTGAAAGAGAGTCATCATTTGCATTTCACAGAAGAAGTCTTCAATCTACCAAACGGATATGTAAAATAGGTGGACTGTTGGGATTATTTTACTCAATTCCGTTCGGAACTTGGCAGGTTAATCCTAATACCTGTAGACTAGGCTTTCGATGATATTTACAGAAGAATATATTAAATGGTTTCGGCCTGGGCTTTTGCTCATGAATGAACTGCCTATGATCACACATACGCGTAGTTTCTTGTGCACAATTTGGCATCTTCACGAAGGGTACTTGCTGCATGTTGTGTCTTCGAACGCCTACTACATATCAGGCGGTGACGGACAGCGTGGTTCTCACGGTTTCTCGAGAAGACATGACCACCTTCAGCTACAGCAACCCGGGCGTTTTCACGGCAATCCATGATCTACAGTTTGTGTGCTAGTTGTTCTTACTTGGACAGTACTGGAAGTGAGATTCTGCTCATGCTTGTCGCATCGTACAAGATATTATTATTTATTGTGGTTGTTTCCTATGCTGAAAAATAATACAATGACAACAAGGTTTAGAACCCTCTGCGAGATCAAGTATTTTTGTCTTTTTCGCTCCGCATCGGAGTGTGTGTCGTCATCTTGAGGGTAAGATGGTCAATGGGGGGTCGGGTTCATGCCACGAATAGTGGAGAAGAAAGGAGTATTGCAATAACTTGGACCGCAGCCAAAAAATTGCGTTGTGATTTACATGCACAACACGCGCACTACGTGGATGAGGAGCTCTGGCCACCGATTGCTTGAAGGGGTCTATGATTGAACCGTCTCTTGCGCTGCAAAGGAGATTCGATCCGTTGCAACTCCGAGGGAAATCATGTACTCTGTAACAGTGGTGTTCACGCTTTCGGCCCAGGTGGTTTACTCATCATCCTATAGCATAACAGCGACTGGCTAGGGTCCAATTATTTTAGTTCATTTC